GCTCATGAAAACAACAATGAATAGCTCAAAATTTGAAAGTGATATTCATAATATAAATCTTTTTAAAGTTGATATATGTGAATAAAAATATTTTAGTAAAAATGAATTTTTTAAAAAGATATTTGTGATTTATGTAAATGTGCTTATATAATCATATATTTAAAAATGTAATGCACATATATATATATATATATATAATTTGAATCGAGTTTTTTAAAATTCTTTCTTTAAAGATAATAATCATCATCATCATACTTATATTTATTAAATAAAATTCAATTTGCAAATATAAAAAGAAATCTTGTAATTTTTCAAGAAAGAAGAAATGAATAATAATTATATTGTATAACAATTTCTCAAATTTTTACAATAAAATATTGAATTTGTTCAGAGAATTGATCTTAGAGCAATATTAATTTGGAAAACATTTTATTTCTGATGTTGCAGATGTACTAATTATATTTCATTAATTTCAAATGTTTATAGAAACCAATTAAAATTTCTTATTTTATTTCATTATTTCATTTTAAAATTTCTTATTTTATTTTATTTCATTTTGAACATTTTATTTCATTTTTCAATTTCAATAATATATGATCAAATTTTGAGAAGACATTTTAAACTGTTATTAAGCTGAAACATTTCTCAAAAAGTCCTTATAAATGTAAATAGATTATAAATTTGTAAAGTAAACCTAATTTTATTTTTTAAACATCAATGCAAATAAATATTTCAAGAATTGAATATTGCATTTTGAAGAACTGTTGCTGTCCTAACATTTTATACTTAGATGTAGAGAAATGTTTTATATACAATTATATCATTATAACAGCCTTTAGATAAATGCAATATCACAACATATTGAGACATATAATGACCACAATGTTATGTTGTTGCTTGTACAACTGGAGTAGTTCCCCAAAGTATTAAGCTGCAGATATATTTGATTTTCTTAATTTAAACAGATTCTAATTGTAAAATTTAATTATTTCAGATTCTAGAGTATATGAATTATTTATGCCTAAAATAATTAAAAATTATTTTAAGTTTAAAATACTTAGAAGGATTTAAAGAAACTGGAAAAGTAGATTATTGTAAATTTAAGTATTTACTAATTCATAAAGATTCTCACTTGCAGTAACACATCAATCATTTTGAAATTTTCAAAGATTTTCCCAAAAAATTGATTTTGTTTCATTCATTGAAGAAGTTGATATTCATTGAGAAATGAATATGGTCAGATTTGTTGTAAGATGAATCAATAAGAATAAATCATTGTATACGATGATATTTGTCTTCAGAAACATGATTTAATATTTTAAGATCAATAATAAAAATTTGCTTTTTCTTATACAGTACATTAAATTTGACAAATTATGATAAGAAAAATTTCTTCAATAAGCATAAATTTTAAAATGTATGTCATTAAAGTAATTATTTCAGTATTTATGAACAATAAATATTAAATATTAGTATATCAAAAATATTCTGATTTGTCGAGGGTTGTACATGGAATAGAAACTTTATAATTCTGTTTAAATTCTTAAAATTAGCAAAGATTTTCTATTCTTAATGTTATATATAATTAATGCTCAAATTGCTTCATTGAAAATGACTTTTCAAAGCAACAGCATGATGTAACTTAGTGATATAAATTTATTTTAAAATTTTATAATCAAGATTGCCTTTTTTTATAACAACAATGAAACCCACTTTTTTTAGAATCACAGCATTTATAGGCTATTATTTTGTTGAGTTTAAATTTTTATAAAGATTTGATAATTTTAATTTATTAAATTAATCATTGACAAATTAAATTCAATATAATCTTTTTTTTAAAATATTCATATGAAGTTTTGTGCTTTAGTGGGTATTTTAGTACCATTCGTCATCTAAAAAGAAATTTATAACAAAATTTTATTAAAATTATGATATTTATATATATTAATTTAATACATTTTAATTAAAATTCTGAAAATTGCAATAATGTCATAATTGATGAATTTACAACTGAAAATTTTTATTGTTTTGGTTTTTCATTTGAGTGAATACTGATAATTATTAAATTATAGGCAGCTTCTGGCAGAAATTTAAATATATTGGAAGAATTTAATGATTGGAAATATTATCTGAAACTCTGGGTCTGTGTGGACCTCGAGGCTTCCGAGGCTTGTCTCCACGTTCCATCAGAGGAAATAAGGGCTGTTTTAATGCTGGAAGATTATTGGAACTCCTCTCTTTATATGGAATATCATATCTAAATGAGAAAATTATACTTCATCATATTTAATAAGCAAATTATACTTCTCATATATAATTTTAAAAAATATTTCAACAACAACAATTTCAGTAAAAAATAAGGGCTGATGGTATATAGTTTTCTTAACTTATGAACTGCCACTTTCATCAATTACGTTTAACGCACTTATTAAATCACTTTACTTTTATAGTCAATATGTACAATATATAAGTTGAGGCACCAGAATATCCCAGAAACAAAAACATCTGAGAGAAAGATTTAAATGTTGACAGCATGCGACTTTCATTGGGAATACTTGTTTCATTTTTACAGATATTGTAAATAACTTTTTGGACCAATTCTTAGGCAAATTGACATGAGGATAAAAAACAAACCTTTTATGACATTCAAGTAAACAGTTTAGCTGTGCATTTAAAAATGTAAAAGTAAATTTAATTTAAATTTGTTTTTCTTCATAAAGTAAGATATTAAAAACAATTAGGGTCATTTACAAAACCAAGGTGTCCTACAACTAACTTTGAGGTTGTCCACCAAATTCAAAATAAACAAAGTTTCCTTTCCCTTTTATTGATACAATCAAACAACTGATATTTAAAACATTTTTGTCTCTGGGATTTCCAGTGTTGCAACTTAAATGGCCCAATCTGTATATTGCATCATAACTTATTGAAAATGCTAATTTGTATTCTCACTTCTTTATTTAATGCATAATTTTTGAAGAAAAAAGTTTTAAATATAGTTATGTGTGGATAAAGCAAATTAGATTATAGACAGACACCAAAGAATAAACAAACATTTTTTTGTTAATTACTGCCTTTTGTTTTATTTATTAGCATCAAATCAGAGTTTTTTAAGTTTTGTAAGTCTTGCTGCAGTGGATGCTGATTGGAGCAATGAGAGACATGATAAAAAATCTACATATATCATCATGCTTTTTACAAATTTATTAAAATGTATTCAGAATTTTTCAAATAAGATCTGCAGACTAATAATCCCAGCATTAAACTGAGGAAACATGATAAAATTTAAGTGTTGTAAGTTTATAACTAAGAGGAATAAACATTTTCTCTATTTTATAATTTGTAATCTTAATTAAAAATAATTTTACATTTAAGCATAGAGCATCAAAAACTATCAAATTAAAAATTATCTCAAAATTTTTTGATTTTAATGTTTGCAAAGATCCTGGAAAGTATGGTTTATTCACTCAAATAGTTCATTTCAGATAATTTCTAAAATTGACCAGTAAACAAATGGATTAATATTGTAGTTTTGTGGTAAACCAGGTCATGTAAAATTTTGGTAGACATGGACATTTCAATAATAAATTGGATGTAAATAGAAAAAAAAAAACTAACCAATCTAGCTTCACCATTACAGTACGGGATAATTAAACTTTACAACAAAACCCAAGAAACAAACACAAACTTAAAAACAGATAAATTAAACCAATAAATAAAATAAACATAAATTTTATCATTACAACATGAAGCATAATACTGTAATAATAGCCAACACCCCTTCTTGCTGAATAAAGTCATAATCCCAAATTCACAGCATTTGAAAATCATTTCAATTTATCCGTAGGAAGAGGTTTGGCCATCACATCTGGAATCATGAGTTCTGTCAAACATTTCATTTCAATGATTTTCTTCTCACACAGGTCACATAGCAAATGACACTTGATATCAATGTGTTTTGTCCATGCACTTGATCTGTCAGATTTCAGCATTTCAATGCAACCTTGATTGTCTTCAAAAATTGTAGTTGCACTTGACATCAATATCTGCATATCTGATAGGATCTGACATAGCCAAATGATTTCTTGACATGCATATGCAGCCAATATATATTCAGCTTTGGCAACCATAGCTTGCTTCTTACTCAACCATTATATGTTGTTGAAACCCAGCATGATGATGTATGTAGATTTTCTATCATGTCTCTCATTGCTCCAATCAGCATCCACTGCAGCTTTGGTTCATACTGTACCAAAAGATAGTGCTTATAAGTTTTACTGCATTAAGTTGTGGCGACCAATTCCGAACTTCGTCCGATCGCCACCAGAGGGAGTTCGGAGGTTTTAAAACACCGATTCGAACACGTGCCTTCGTCCTTTTGTCGACTCCTCGTCTAGAGTACAGACTCCTATTCAATTGTGCTACTTGAACTCTTTTGTTGGCAACCTCAATCGCCACATTGGTGAGCCGGACGTGATTCAACCTCAATCCAATTTCATCTGGACATTCACGCCATTAATTTCAACGATTTTTGTTCCATCCGCATAATCAGATTCACCGCATATTTTATTTTGTGATATTTTTTGGAGCAACCACATGGCCACAGAACAAAGGTCGAGTAACTTCCCGCACCTACGCTAGGTAAGCGTATCATTTTTTTTTCNTTTTTTTTTTTTTTTTTTTTTTTTTTTTTTTTTTTTTTTTTTTTTTTTTTTTTTTTTTTTTTTTTTTTTTTTTTTTTTTTTTTTTTTTTTTTTTTTTTTTTTTTTTTTTTTTTTTTTTTTTTTTTTTTTTTTTTTTTTTTTTTTTTTTTTTTTTTTTTTTTTTTTTTTTTTTTTTTTTTTTTTTTTTTTTTTTTTTTTTTTTTTTTTTTTTTTTTTTTTTTTTTTTTTTTTTTTTTTTTTTTTTTTTTTTTTTTTTTTTTTTTTTTTTTTTTTTTTTTTTTTTTTTTTTTTTTTTTTTTTTTTTTTTTTTTTTTTTTTTTTTTTTTTTTTTTTTTTTTTTTTTTTTTTTTTTTTTTTTTTTTTTTTTTTTTTTTTTTTTTTTTTTTTTTTTTTTTTTTTTTTTTTTTTTTTTTTTTTTTTTTTTTTTTTTTTTTTTTTTTTTTTTTTTTTTTTTTTTTTTTTTTTTTTTTTTTTTTTTTTTTTTTTTTTTTTTTTTTTTTTTTTTTTTTTTTTTTTTTTTTTTTTTTTTTTTTTTTTTTTTTTTTTTTTTTTTTTTTTTTTTTTTTTTTTTTTTTTTTTTTTTTTTTTTTTTTTTTTTTTTTTTTTTTTTTTTTTTTTTTTTTTTTTTTTTTTTTTTTTTTTTTTTTTTTTTTTTTTTTTTTTTTTTTTTTTTTTTTTTTTTTTTTTTTTTTTTTTTTTTTTTTTTTTTTTTTTTTTTTTTTTTTTTTTTTTTTTTTTTTTTTTTTTTTTTTTTTTTTTTTTTTTTTTTTTTTTTTTTTTTTTTTTTTTTTTTTTTTTTTTTTTTTTTTTTTTTTTTTTTTTTTTTTTTTTTTTTTTTTTTTTTTTTTTTTTTTTTTTTTTTTTTTTTTTTTTTTTTTTTTTTTTTTTTTTTTTTTTTTTTTTTTTTTTTTTTTTTTTTTTTTTTTTTTTTTTTTTTTTTTTTTTTTTTTTTTTTTTTTTTTTTTTTTTTTTTTTTTTTTTTTTTTTTTTTTTTTTTTTTTTTTTTTTTTTTTTTTTTTTTTTTTTTTTTTTTTTTTTTTTTTTTTTTTTTTTTTTTTTTTTTTTTTTTTTTTTTTTTTTTTTTTTTTTTTTTTTTTTTTTTTTTTTTTTTTTTTTTTTTTTTTTTTTTTTTTTTTTTTTTTTTTTTTTTTTTTTTTTTTTTTTTTTTTTTTTTTTTTTTTTTTTTTTTTTTTTTTTTTTTTTTTTTTTTTTTTTTTTTTTTTTTTTTTTTTTTTTTTTTTTTTTTTTTTTTTTTTTTTTTTTTTTTTTTTTTTTTTTTTTTTTTTTTTTTTTTTTTTTTTTTTTTTTTTTTTTTTTTTTTTTTTTTTTTTTTTTTTTTTTTTTTTTTTTTTTTTTTTTTTTTTTTTTTTTTTTTTTTTTTTTTTTTTTTTTTTTTTTTTTTTTTTTTTTTTTTTTTTTTTTTTTTTTTTTTTTTTTTTTTTTTTTTTTTTTTTTTTTTTTTTTTTTTTTTTTTTTTTTTTTTTTTTTTTTTTTTTTTTTTTTTTTTTTTTTTTTTTTTTTTTTTTTTTTTTTTTTTTTTTTTTTTTTTTTTTTTTTTTTTTTTTTTTTTTTTTTTTTTTTTTTTTTTTTTTTTTTTTTTTTTTTTTTTTTTTTTTTTTTTTTTTTTTTTTTTTTTTTTTTTTTTTTTTTTTTTTTTTTTTTTTTTTTTTTTTTTTTTTTTTTTTTTTTTTTTTTTTTTTTTTTTTTTTTTTTTTTTTTTTTTTTTTTTTTTTTTTTTTTTTTTTTTTTTTTTTTTTTTTTTTTTTTTTTTTTTTTTTTTTTTTTTTTTTTTTTTTTTTTTTTTTTTTTTTTTTTTTTTTTTTTTTTTTTTTTTTTTTTTTTTTTTTTTTTTTTTTTTTTTTTTTTTTTTTTTTTTTTTTTTTTTTTTTTTTTTTTTTTTTTTTTTTTTTTTTTTTTTTTTTTTTTTTTTTTTTTTTTTTTTTTTTTTTTTTTTTTTTTTTTTTTTTTTTTTTTTTTTTTTTTTTTTTTTTTTTTTTTTTTTTTTTTTTTTTTTTTTTTTTTTTTTTTTTTTTTTTTTTTTTTTTTTTTTTTTTTTTTTTTTTTTTTTTTTTTTTTTTTTTTTTTTTTTTTTTTTTTTTTTTTTTTTTTTTTTTTTTTTTTTTTTTTTTTTTTTTTTTTTTTTTTTTTTTTTTTTTTTTTTTTTTTTTTTTTTTTTTTTTTTTTTTTTTTTTTTTTTTTTTTTTTTTTTTTTTTTTTTTTTTTTTTTTTTTTTTTTTTTTTTTTTTTTTTTTTTTTTTTTTTTTTTTTTTTTTTTTTTTTTTTTTTTTTTTTTTTTTTTTTTTTTTTTTTTTTTTTTTTTTTTTTTTTTTTTTTTTTTTTTTTTTTTTTTTTTTTTTTTTTTTTTTTTTTTTTTTTTTTTTTTTTTTTTTTTTTTTTTTTTTTTTTTTTTTTTTTTTTTTTTTTTTTTTTTTTTTTTTTTTTTTTTTTTTTTTTTTTTTTTTTTTTTTTTTTTTTTTTTTTTTTTTTTTTTTTTTTTTTTTTTTTTTTTTTTTTTTTTTTTTTTTTTTTTTTTTTTTTTTTTTTTTTTTTTTTTTTTTTTTTTTTTTTTTTTTTTTTTTTTTTTTTTTTTTTT